ATCCTGGAACTCACTATGTAGACCAGGCTGGCCTTGAACTTACAGAGATCTGCCTGTCTCTGCCTCCCAAGTGCTGGGACTACAGGCGTGCCCTGTAAGACATAAAATTGAATGAGTTTTTAACCTTTAAAAAAGATCTCCATTTCGTTTTAAAATATACCATTTCTTACAGAAAGACATTGTTTTTGCTAATAACACTTAGATGTTGGCATATGCGTCTCTAATCTGTATGTATCTGATTATCACTAGTCATGGTCAGTCGCACTTGGATCCTTAGCCACCTGTGTATGGATATAAAGTCATTGGGTAAATTTCAATGGTAATGTTTATCACTTCTACTAATTAACACGATGTAAATTTTTATGTTTCCTCCTCAAATATGACTCATTTTAATATGATTTTTTGTGTGTATATCACACAGAACATCCCCAAAATTATTTTTTAAAAATATTATATTTATTATTTTTATTCTTTTATGTGTATGGGTGTATTGCCTGCATGTATGTGAGTGCACCCACGTCATGCAATGCCATGGAGGTCAGAAGAGGGCTTCAGATTCCCATGGAACTGGAATTAAGGAACCATGTGGGTGCTGGGACTCAAACCTGGGTCCTCTGCAAGAGCAGTCTGTGCTTTTAACCACTGAGCCATCTCTCCAGCCCCTCATTTTTAATTAAAAAAATTTATGTGTACAAGTGTATTGCCTGCATGTCTATAAGTACACCCATATCATGCAACACCTATGGAGGTCAGAAGAGGGGTTAAATCCTCTGGAACTGGAGTTAAGACCCTTGTTAGCTGCTATGTGGGTGCTAGGAACCAAAGCCAGGTCTTCTGCAGGAGCAGCCAGTGCTTTTAACTGCTGGACCATCTCTCCAGCCCCATCATTTATGTTTCATATATACCTCATACACATCACCTAAACAGAACAATTACTTTTCATGGGTTTTAAAATTTTTATTTATGTGTATATGTGTGTATCTGCATGTATGTATACACAAAATACCTGCAGAGGCCAGAAGAGGGTGTCAGATCCCCTAGAGCTGGAGATACCAGTGGTTGTGAGCCACCATGTGGGTGCTGGGACCCAAACTCCAGTCCTCTTAAGCATTAAGCATTAAGCAAAAGCATTAATGTTCTTAACCGCTGAGCTATCTCTCCAGTCTTCAAAATATAACTTACATAGTAAATTTAGCATCCCTGAGTTTTCATTGTACCAGGTCCCATGAGGTCAGGCGTGTAGTATTTTCCACTTGGAGCCTCATGCTGGTACTCAGAAAGTTTCAAATTTCAGAACATCTGGACTTTGGTTTTTTGAATTAGGAATGCTCACTGTGTTGTGATGTTCAAAGCTATTCAGAGGTTTAGGGCTGGGAATACAGCTCAGGGTCGAGCACGCACCTGCAAGCACGAGGCCCGAAGTTCAATTTGCTGCACCAGAAAAAAAGGGAGACTCTAGGAAACCAGACAACTGTCCCTGGAGTGAGCAGGCTTGCCCAATTTAAAATTTCTTTTTACAGTCTCCCCCAACCCAGAACAAACCCAAGGGAATATGGGAACTTTAATAACCTGAACATTTTTCCCTACAAGTAGTCATAACAATAGCCCTGACTGCACAAGAGATGAATCAGAACCACATTTTTTGGTCTTTTTTTTTTTTTTGGCGGGGGGGGGGTCTTTTTGAGACAGAGTCTCCCTGTAGCCCGGGCTGTCCTGGGACTCACTATGCAGACCAGGCTGAACTCAGAGATCCACCTGCCTTTGCCTCCCAAGTGCTGTGTGCCACCACACCCCGCTCAGGAGAAATATAACCCAAAGCTCACAGCTTGAGTGCAAAGAAGTTTCAACATAATGAGATGAAAAATAACTTGAACATGGTGCAAGTAATCATATTCCGGTAAGCTCTGAATATGAACTATTAGAGTAATCTCAAAACTGGGTATCATCATTTTTGCCTGTAACCCTAACACTCAGGTGGCTGAGGCAAGAGGACTGATGTGAGTTAAGAGTTTACCTGGTCTACATAATGAGCTCCAGGCAAATCTGGGCTACACAGAAATGTCTAAAATATACTTCATATATATGTAACTTCCAGAGCTTAGAGATTTAAGATTGCAGAGTGAGCAGGGGCTGTAGCGGAGTAGCAGGGCACTTGCTTAGCATGTGAATGCCCTGGGTTCAACTCCAGCACTACAGGCAAAAAAACATGTTATAGCAGCAGATTCAAACAAATGGCAAGATGGCAGTATATAAAAAAACTTGGTGTCTGGGCTGGAGAGTTGGCTCAGCGGTTAAAAGCACTGGCTGTTCTTGCAGAAGACCTGGGTTTGATTCCCAGCACCCACATGGAGGCTAACAACCATCTGTAACTCCCGTTCCAGGGCATCCAATGCCCTTTTCTGTCCTCCACGGACATTGCACGGCATAGGTGCACTTCCATACATGCATACAATACACACATACACATAAGATAAAAATAAAGCAGAAAGATTTTTTTTAAAAAAGACTAGGTGTGCAAGCCTGGTATCCTGACTACCTCCAGAACCTCTCAAAGTGGAAGGGAAGACAACTTCACAAAGCTGTTCTCTGACCTCCACACATGCTTCATGGCACACGTGTGCACACACACACATACGTACAGGCACAGAATAATAAGAACTTAAAAATTTTAAGAGAGCAAACAAAGTTAAATATCTTCAGTACAGGGAGAATTAAAATTAGAGAACTATTCTGTAGTCTTCTTTATTTAAGGGACCACTCCATGAAGGAAATTAAATGATTTGGAGAAGAACACATACTACACTATACACTACCAAAAACAAAACCAAACCAGGAAAAAGAGAAAAGCAAGCCATTCCTACGTCCATAAAAGTACTACTCAGCAAAAAATCTCCCACTGTCCTCCTGGGGTGGGCTGGGGACTGACTTCTGGTAGAAAGCTTTCTTAACTGGAGGACAGGTGGTATTAAAGTTTCCAAAAGATTTCCTGACAACTTTGGTAAGAAGACGTGTAGCTCTTGCAGCATCACAACCACTTCCTTTCATGTACCTACACAACCTCTCCTCTTTTCATTTTCCCACAAATCCTCTGAACCAGAAGATAAATAGATGCAAAGAAGAGGGACCCTTCACTGCCAGGGCATGGTCTGGGTTTGGAGGGAGAGAGCCTGAGCTCACTTCTGGGGAAGCTCAGGAAGCTACCAGAAGCCGTCTTGAATCCCTGGTTTTCTTTTCCTATAACCTAAAGAGAACAGTTTTGTAACTAAACGCAGGAGTGCTCTGAGGACTGGAGAGGACTGAGTGTGAAGAGTGCTTGGTACACACCTGGCCAAACCAAGCAGACGAACACATGGAAAAATCAATTATCATTTCAAAATTAATACTGTCCTTGTATAAATCATTAGCTGAGACCAGAGGTTAGCAGACTATTACTAACTCAGAGAAGGAAAGATACTATTTTATGTCCTTCACCTAAGAGATGTAATACTACCCTTGAGCTTTAAGCTGACCTCTCTGTCTCTAGCAATGTGGACTCCAATCCCAGGTTTTGCCCATGTCCCCAGAGCAGAAGGTAAACTGACTAATATCCTTGGTTTCTGGGAGAGTCTTCAGCAGTGATATAATGGAGAACACAGGGACACAGTGTCTTGGGCCAATAGCGTTCTGGCTCATGGACAACAGCTTCCAAGCAGAAATCAGATGCAATCATCAAAAGCTTACTTTAAGAAGACAAGGAAGGGGCCATACCTCTAATCGCTGGATCCGTCCCTTGAAAAACATAAAGAGGGAGGAGTTTGGATAAGCAGCTTCTTTTTTGAGAAGAATTTCCTTAGCTTCATCCAGGCCTGCTTTGTTATCACTGCCATCCAACGCAAAAAATGGGCGGACTACGGTGTGGTACCACAGTAGAGCTAATCTGCAGGGAGACAGAGAGAAAGCTTGAGCAGGAGAGTTTGCTGACTTGGCTCTGTTTTCAAATAAAATAAGTCAGTATGTGCTCTTCTAATACACATCCTTTCTAAGAGATTTGCTATACAATTTTCCAAGAAGTAAAATCAGAGCATGTTTCCCATCTTAATTTTGTCAATATCTGGAAAACCACTACTTTAGCACAAGGTTTAAATCAACAGATGCAAGAATAATACCACAGAAGCCTTGGGCTTTCCTGAAGCCTCTGGCTGGATTGCTGAAGACAGTGAGCAGGAGAAAGCTCTGGATTCTACACACTCAGCAGTTCATGAACTGGAGACAACTAGTCACAACAGATACATGGTCCGCTTGTAATCAAAGATTTACATTTTGAAAAAGAAAAATGTGACTCTCACTGTGCTCATAAAGTTAAGAGTACAGGCCAGGTATGGTGGCATACGCCTTTAAACCCAGCAGTCGGGAGGCAGAGACAGGCAGATCACTGTGAGTTCGAGGCCAACCCTGTTTATATAAAGATTTCCAGGCCAGCTAAGGTTATATAATGAGACCCTATCAATAATGATGATGATGATGATGATGATGATAATAATAATAATAAAGTTAGGGTTTATAAGCCTCAAAATCCAGATTTAATGTAAAACCCACAGTCTTCAATTATATATGAGTTAAAAATAACTGAGGGGAACAGGTTAAAGGCCCTTTTCCCAGCCTTTGAAGATGCTCAAAAAACAAACACATAAATTACTTAAATTCTCTAACTTCAAGTTCATTAAATAAAAATATCATGCTAAACTAAGTAATCAGAGCAGTCGCTGAGGCTTGCTTTGATGAACATATACAAATGTTTAATCAGCACAGAAAATATTTCTATGTGAATGAATGCTATGCCTAGTGTGTTCATAAATTCAATCCTCTTATTGAGAACACAATGATTTACAATATTAATTCCATTCACTCCTTTTTCAGAGATAGACACAAAACGATGCTAAGCTACTAGCTAGAAATGTTTCCAAGTTACAAACCTGATAATAATATTAATTAATAAGGGGCCATTCTTTGTGTCATTTAATGAGTCTGGGATATACATCTGTTTATCAAATGAAAATTTCATGATTTTTATATAACTCTATTCTTCAGTATTGACATGTAAAGATCTACATCACACTAAGGTCTTGTGTGATTTAATATAATTGGGGGACATTCTGGTAAGAGGTGTCATGTCAGACAAAGATCATTTGCTATCTGTAAGATAGCTCAAATTACAAATTGTAGGTATTTTCCAGATTTGAAATTTTTAAATCACATAATTTTTAACTAATTTCTTGACTCAATATAATGACATACCACAAGATATCCAAATTACACATTCTAAACAAACTGAACAACTAGAGTCATCAAGGAAAATTACCCAACATTTGGATTCTTTGTAAGGAAAAAAAAAATTCAGAGCCATTGACAAGGCCTATCAAATGTAAGTCCAAAAAGATCAGAACTGTGACTCTCAGCAACCGTGGGCAAGGTCACAAAACTACTTATGAATCACTAGATGGTGGACGATAGGTCAGATTCAGGGGCTAGGGAAGATGATTCAGTTGGTAAAGTGCTTAACTTGAGGACCTGATTTTGACTCCCAGAACTCACATAAAAAGACAGATGTGATAGTGTGTGCTTGTAATCAGCACCAGGAGGTAGAGACAGCTGGATTCCTGAGGCTTACTGGCTAGCTAGCCTAGTCCACTTGGTGAGCACCAGGCCAATGAGACCCTGTCTCTGAGGATGACACCCAAGGCTGTTCATTAGACGCCAGCACAGAGCGCATTCCTTGGCATTGCCATTAAAAGGTACAGCACTGTATCAAGCAACAATTTTCCTGAAGTTTTTAAAAGTTTGACTGTTGTTTACTTACTTTCAACACTACATTATCTACCAAAGCATTGCAATATAGCTACTCACGTAGCTAAAGGGGCCTTCATGTCCTTACTTTCGCTTGCATACGTCAGTGAAGAAAGCCCCTGCAGGCGGTCTCCAGGAAACCCCAGCAGGTTGATGATTTTGAGCAGGTTTGGGGGCACCATGGATATGCAAAGGTGAAAAAGGCCATATCCAAAGCTAACAGCACCCTTCAGTCTGTTTAGGGATTCCTCAGTCACCCCTTCAGCCACAATGTGATTATCATTTGCAGCGTCAGAAGTCAAGGGCTCTTCAGTCAGCTTCTTCTGATACAGCTCCTGGAGGGCGTTGATGTCCACATAGCACTTATTGTAAATCTTCCAGGCCTTCCTAAGGATCCACCCCCCTTTTATGTAGGCTATAAAGAGAAGGGGAAAGAAGCAGTCAAAACCCAGTAATCACATGTGCACTGGCATCATAATAAAGGCTAATGGTAGGAAGCTGAAAGTCAAGCAAGGACTCGAAATCGTTACAATTGTTAGCGGTCCCTGAATCTTGCTGCTTCACAGTTTACTTACATTTCTTATTTTTGTCAATGTCCCTTCACTACAAGTCCCAACACAGTAGGATCACTTTTTTCAAAAAGTATTTATTAGTTCTATTTTATTTGTATGAGTGTATTGCCTAGATGTATATAAGTGCACCTGCACTGTACAATGTCCACAGAGGTCAGAAGAGGGCGTAGGAGCCCCTGGAACTGGAGCTATGGATGGTTAGCTGTCATGTGGGTGCTAGGAATCGAATCTGGGTCCTCTGCAAGAGCAGCCAGTGGTCTTAATTGCTGAGCCATCATCTCTCCAGCCCTGGCATGATCACTTTGTGGGGCTTTATTTGCTATTGCTGACCACTACTCTTATCAGGCCCTTCATGAAGAGAGAGGGAGAGAGGGAGGGAAGGGGTAGGGAGGGAGGGGGAGGAAGGAAAGAGGGAAGGATGGAAGGAAAGGAGGGAGGGAAGGAGAAGGGAAGAAGGGAGGAAAAAAGGAAAGGAAGGCGGGAAGGAAAAACAGGAAAGGGAAGGGAGGGAGGCGGGGAAGGAAGGAGGAAGGAGGAAGGAGGAAGGAGGAGTCAACCCAGATTTCTTCAGGTCTTCTGTGAAATGCTCTGCCACGGCTCTCTACTGTGGTGTTTCATGGCAGACCTTCTACACACACTGGGGTTTCTCCCCTATGTTTTCATTCCCCCAAAGAAAGCTCTTAGTCTAGTTCACAGCTAAAATTATCCGCACATACCAAGCAACGTGTATCTTGGCAAAAACATAAAAAACTTAAAAAATCATAGTAATGACAAACAAAAATGATCAATTCACATTTACTGGGTCAAAAACGCCAATTTATTATGAAAGTCATTCATGTTAAGTACAGACCTGTGAAGAATCCCTAACACACCTCTATCTTGTTTACTGTGACAGAGATGGCTTCTGTTTACTCTGGGTGCTGGTGTTCACCCAGTGGCACATTTCAGAGACATCCACAGTGAAGAGGAAACAAAGAACAGAGTGCTCCTGAAAACATGGACTACAAAGCCTTGTAGGATGGGAGGTTGAGATGCAGAGACAGCTCCCTCCCAGCCCACGTCCCTCTGCAACAGGCCCTTAGCATCCTGCCATGATGAACCCTCTCAGAACCCTTCTTCAGGTCGCAGTGTGTGTCAGTCTGTCTATTATATGAGTATCTTCATCATATTCTTGAGGAGAAGGCCTTCTGTCAGGAATTTTCTGTAAAAAAAAATCCCCTTGTAACTACAGAAGAGAGCTTACCTCCTTGGCCCATTACCCACAAGGCGCTACCACTCTGACCTGTGTGAAAAGAAGGCAAACATGGCCTGACCCAGCCTCCCAGAGCCTCCAAATCAGCAAGGAAACAGGCAAACTTGCTTTAGAAACGAGGACTTCAGAAAATACATGACAGCAAATAAAATCCGAGGTATAAGATACAATGCCAGAACTGAAAGTGGTCTAGGAATGCATGGCGCATGTATTAAAGAGTGGACTCAGCTGCCCTGGCTGCTGCCTTTCTAAAGGCTGGTGCACCAGGTGGACCCCTGGCTGGGTGGGAGGCTCAGACTGCAGGTGTGCTTACCACAGACAGACTGGTAGAGGGTTTCAGGGATCCGAACGCTGAACACACAGTGGCTCATAGACACCTGTATTTTGCCTAGGAGTCTAGAAAGTGGGTGTGTGCAAGGCAGTTCTGGGCCCCTGCAGAACCAGCCCAGGGCCCTCTGAAAAGATACCACAATTGGTAACATTTCCTTCATGCTATCTCATCTCTGAGGAAAGGAAGGAAGGGTGTCCTATGTGACTCTGCTGGGGACACCCTTGGGAACCCACACCTGGTCCCACCTGGCTTTCCCTTTGTTCATTCTGCTTTGCATCCCTTTGCTGGAATAAACCACACAGTATAGCTGTATCCTGAGTCCTGTGAGTCCTCTGGGTGAGTCATTAACACATGAGGGGTCCTAGAGATCACCAATACACCACAGAAAGCTATTATTTTATTTAAGTATACCAACTTTCCAACCTAGGATGACCATATTTCCTGTGTAATCACAATGAAAGTTCTGGGTGATCACTGTCTTAGAGTCTACATCCACTAAAGAGAACAGGGTAAGAATGAGCAAGTCAAACAAACTAGTCTGGACTGGCGAGATGAGTCAATAGGTAAAGAGACTTGCCACTAAGTCTGAGGATCTGAGTTCCATCCCTGGGACCCACAGAGTAGGAAAGAACCAACTCCTGCAAGTTGTCCTCTGACCTCCACATAGGAGCTGTGGCACATGTGTGTCCACACATACACACACACATACACAGAGAAACACACACACACACACACACACACACACACACACAAATAATAATAAATGTAATAAGAATACTCTTAAAACAAAGTCTATAAAAATTTGGATGAATTTCTCATTAAAAAAAAAACTAATGTACGTTCAAAATAATCCTTTCATTTAGCTGAACGTAACAGAAGAATTTACTGTATGAACGCTCTACCTCAGACACTGTTCTAAGTAAACCAAAGAGAAATGTGTTTCGGATCTCTTTTAAGAAGCTCAGTGAGTTTCTTCCCTCCTAAACAAATTATACTAAACTTATGAATGAATTGTTCATTTTTATTTTTACTTCCCATTTGCCATTAATTTTTTCTGTGTGCCAAGTACATTAAACCTTATTCCTTCTGGGGCTGGCGAGATGGCTCAGCAATTAAGAGCACTGACTGGTCTTGCAGAGGACCCGGGTTCGATTCCCAGCACCCACATGGCAGCTACGTTCTCACATACATGCAGGCAATACACTCATACACATAAAATAAAAGTAATAATAAATAAAATATTTTTTAATTAAAAAAATCTTACTCCTTCCAACTTCCATCCTTACCTAGAAACTGAGAGGGAGAATGGAATTCCATTTTCTCCTGTGTCTTCTTTATTAGAGGAAGTAGAATCTTGATTTAGAGAAAGGCAGCACTGCAGGAGAGGGGGACAGGTGTGTGACCATGCAGAAAGATGGGGATACTGTCACTAATGGGTTCAAGTCCAGCTGAGGAATGACCGACCGTCAGCTACAGAGAAATGGGCAGCCTCCAAACTTGGGCTTGAAGGGACAGTGTTAGGAAAATGAACGGTCACAATTAAGATCCCCACTGAAGAATTAGAAAAAAAAGCATGGTGGCTATGGAAACCAAAAGAAAGAGTCATCAATGCCTTGCTGCATGGAACTCAGCCAACAAAGCAAAATTGGGGGCTGGAGAGATGGCTCAGCAGTTCAGAGCACTGGCTGCTCATGAAGAGGACCCAGGTCGAGTTCCCAGCACCCACATGATGGCTAGCAACTCCGTAAGTTCGTTCCAAAGGATTCAACACCCTCTTCTGACCTCCTCAGACATTGCATGATACATATACTCATACACACAAAATTAAAAAAAATATTTAAAGCAAAACACCACATAGCAAAAACCTGTTCTAAAATAAAAATAAATTCACCACATCTTTAATTTCATGCCTAAGATAGGCTCACTGGTCCCGATGCTTGAGAGCACATATTAAAAGTCTATGGTTGGGGCTGGAGAGATGGTTCAGCAGTTAAAAGCGTTGACTGCTCTTGCAGAGGACCCAGGTTCAAATCCCAATACCCACACAGTAACTAACGACAGTCTGTAACTCCAGTTCCAGGGGATCTGACACCTTCTTCTACTTCCGAGGGCACTGCACAACATGGATGCACTTACACACGCACAGGCAATACACTCATACACATAAAAAAATATTAAGATATTTAAAAGTATATAGTGACAAACACAAATTTGAAAACTTTAGCTTGAGCTAGGAAAATAGAATCCAAGGGATTAGACTAAGTAAGTCAAAGACTAGAAACAACTACATGCAAAACCAAGTTAACACACAGACAGAAAATGTGTTCAGCTTGATCTCCTAACAGATTCTCCAAGACATGCCCTGCTCCCTGTCCCCAACACTGTGACACATCTGGAGGAGGCATGATTATGTCAGTTGCGTGGTCATGTCAAGGTGCAGTTTGCTTTGGGCACCTAGGTCTGCAGGGGGGTGCTCCAAAGGAGGCGATGCTCAGTAGGAGAAGATGCTCCGTAGGAGGAGATGCTCCATAGGAGGAGATGCTCAGCAGGCCTGAGTCAGCACTGCCTCCAATGAGCACACGTCCTTCATCACACAGAGAACAGAGCATTCAGGCCACACACTGCAGGGCCTTCTGCTGCTCCTCTGAAAGGTCAGATATAAATCATTCAGCTGCCGTGATCTCTATGCACTCATGGAGGCAGGCAGAAAGAGCAGGAAACCACAGACTATTTGCTCTACCCTATTAGGTCAGGCATCAATCTGTGGGGAGATACAGAGGGGAAACGGGAACCTCCACTCCATAGAGGAGCGGCAGTCCTTCCTGGGAAGGGCATCTTCCTAGAAAATGAAAGCATCCAGTTACACTAAGTTGACCTTGGAATCGATTCTGTCATGGGGACTGTATCTGGTGAGAGTGGATGCAATGGATTCCTCTGTTCACTGTCCTATGCGATGCTGGGCAGCCCCATGATAAAGGGCCACTTTCAGGCTCACCCTTCCTGTGATCCAACAACTTCGAAGGATATAAAGATGATTTATTACTTGTGTGTATGTGTGTGTGTATGTTTGTACGTGTGTGTATAGATACATGTGTGTAAGGCTACTCAGCACATATATGTGGGGGTCAGAGGACATCCTTGGGTTTCATTCCTAAGGAACGTCACCTACTTTTTGTGAGGCAGTATGTCCTACTGGCCTGGAATTTGCTGAGTAGGCTAAGCTGGGAGGCCAGTGAACCCCCAGGGTCTACCTCTCTCTG